CCTGGCTTATCACTGACGACTGCGACGACGACCAGATCTATTTATGCCCAATGGTGACCTTGGAAACCATGGTATACCGTAAGTAGAAAATTTACATGGTAACCGGTTTCCAAGGTCACCATTGGGTATAAATAGATCTGGTCGTCGTCGCAGTCGTCAGTGATAAGCCAGGGGCTTATGGGCAAGCACCAAGTAAGGGGGATCAACATGGATATAAATATGTATGCGCAGGTTATTTCCAGTCAGTATGTCCGAGTACATCGAGCTGAGCACTATTACCCCCAGCAGTAGTGAAGAGAGTGTGTTTAATCAACCCAGTACAAGTACAGGGGTGCGACGTAGGGGTGGATACGTATCTATTCCTATTAACTCGTCTAATAGTAGTATCTCCAGTGCCGGCAGTGACAGTAAATTGAGAGTACCTAATACACCACGTGTTGGGGGTGCGGTTATTGGAGCAGGTAGCCAATATCAACCAATATTCGAAGGGCAATTGGGAAGAGCAGCAGCTGACCCTAACAACCCTTTATCGAGAGCAATATTTGGTAATCGAGACGATTACTACGCAGCCGTTCCTTGGGAATTGAGACGTTTGGGGTTGAAAGAGCGACAGGAGAAGATCAAACCGTACGGAGATCCTTGGAATAAGGACACTAAGGCTAAATATCCAGAACACTGGAGACTAGTAAATCCTCGCAGGGGACTAAACAAGGCGAAGAAGCAAGAACAAAGGGAAGCACAGGCGAGAAGAGATTCTGCCAATCTAGCAAGGGGAGAACCACCACGGAACGGACTAGTTTTACCGTTTTCGAACAATATCGGACCTGGAAATCCAATACGTCCCGCGACCAACAGAGCTGACCTTATTGCGCAGGGTCACGACTTACATTATCAACAAGCTAAGAGCGATAGCGACGTGCTGTCAGCGGATAGAGAAGCAATCTCACAATTCGCACACGAGGCAATCCAGGGTCAGGATCCTATATCTAGGATACACGCGGCAGTGGGAGGAATCGGGCTGGGAGTTAAGCACGCAGTCGAACATTTAAGCGGAAAAGTATACTACGGTAAGCAATGCCTAGAGTTAGACCGTTGGGTCCGAATCCTCAGGATCGTCCTAATTGGGATAGTATGAATGAGGGACAAAGACGTTATGCTATGGAACAATGGAACCTAGCTAGAGTAAGACGTGGGGAATACTTTGATCCTCCTGGGGATGACGACCTACCTTTAACTCAGGCTGATGCGATTGATAACTTTGATTTGGATCTTTTAGGGTCACCCCAGGAGGCGGAACAACCCAGTCAGCAATCAGAAGACGGAGTAGACGATTTTTTACAACAAGTAAGAGATAGACAAGATTTAAGAGACGCCGGACCAAGTAACGCACCACAACCAAACATGGCGGACGTAGAAATGGCTCGAGTATCTAGCTCTAGTAGTGGATCCAAGCGAGGTAGTGATGGTAGCGGACCGCCGAGTAAGGTATCCAAGTCTGGGACAAGTTTACCAGGAACAGGAGGCAATTTGGATGGTATGGTTAGAGGAGGTAGTGGGGAAGGCGGAGCTACAGCTATATTACGTCCAATTGGACTTCATGTTGAGAAGTTTCAACAAACTTATAGAAAGAAATGGAGGTTTCTGACTTCAGCAAATGCAAACGTCATATTGGCTGAAGCGGCCAGCGGAGAAAGACCAGCAAGATGGGCGCTAACGACAGGAATGGCATCAATTCCATGGGAATACTTATTCTTCTATATGAGTCCAGCAGAATATAACAGAATGAAGAACTATCCTGGTACGTTTGCTAAGTCCGCTTCAGTACGTATTAGGACGTGGAACACAAGAGTTGCATTCCAAACTGGAGATACTCAAACAGCTAATGCTACACTAAATCAGAATAAATTCTTACAAGTGGCTAAGGG